CTACCCCCCCCCCCCCCCGTGGATGTGTTTGTGCGGTACCGGAAAAGGTTCAATGCACACTGCTGCACAGCAGTGATGCATACCTGCAAATCGTGCTCTGGTTCGTTCTCGTCTGTCAGCCTTCAACCATTTGAATTTTTGGAATGGTATCATTCATGTCACGCCGCATGTGGCACAGCAGCAGAGCTACTGCTGCATGTAGATGCTACCCTCTATAGCTGCCGGGGGGCGGAAGAGGGAGTTACAGCATGCTGTTTGCCTACAGTTGTTGGTGAAACGTGGCAGAAGGGACACAGATAATACTGATTGCTGCTGTACCATGTTGCACAAGAGCTGGCTTCATGTGTACCGACCCAGCAATAAAAATGTACACCGCGCGAAGATAGCCCGCCACGTTGATTCCTCGATGCACATACGATAGATGCAGCACAACATCAGCAGTGCGTGTTGTTCCTCTCAGTTTGATCGTGTCGTTTTTCACAACCCTCGTGCGGAGTCAAATGGCGCGACATTCGTATTCACCCTCCCACACACACCGGTCGCCCCGGTGGTCTAGTGGGTACCCTCGCAGCCTGCAAAGGGCCAGGTCATGGGTTCGAGTCCCGGCAGAGTGAGTTTCTCTCTCACTAAATATATCCTTATCTAGGATGAAAGCGACGCGCTACAAAGCTCGTTGTTAGTAAACCGTAATCGACTTCGTAAGTCGCGAGGGAAGGGATTGCTGTACCCTTCTCGCGATAAAAATACCTCAGGCAGGAACCGCAGGAGGGGGTCCAGCCCCCCCCTCCTATGTGACCCCGGTTGGGTCGTCTAGCTAGTAGAAGTGGAGGATATGGGCCAGAGGGGCAGACGACAGAGTCCAATGATGGGAGAAAAAAAAAAAAAGCTCGAGCAGAGGGAGCTTGGGTCCGGTGTTCGGTGACTCTTTATCAACGAATCTCTGAGTAATTCGAAGACCTTTCCCAGCTTGCGCCAAACCCGCTCTCTGTCTCTCTCTCTTGCTCGTCTGATCAAAAGTATCGTACCATTGCGGCGGATGGAGGTAGAACACTCGCCTAGATTATCACGGCCGCGTAGCGGAATGTTATTGTGAGGTTCTGACGTTCTGACCACGTCTGAGGAATCGCGGAAATTCTCGAGTTTTCTCGAATTTGTTGGTGTCTAGCATAGTAACATCGCTGAACATCGTACGAAATAGTCAGATTACTCTACAGCAAGGTGATTTTCGAGGGGCGCGATCACTTCGGAGCGTTGATTCTTGGCGCCTCCAGTACGCCCGATAGGTGCGGTATGCATATACTGTACCTCGCTTGGCATGAGGCGCTTGAGCTGTCCGTAGGTTTTGTGCTCTTCTCGTCACAGAAAAAACTGCTCATGCTATTACGATCCTGTAATTACAGCGTCGTGGCACGGCGTCGTGGCGGCAGAATGTTTTACGAGAAAGTCAGCCCGCTCTGTAGTTTCCTTATCTCACCCTCTGGAAAGGCGAAAAGGCCGCGTACGGCCGTCAGTAGGCTCTTGCCCCGTAGGCGATTGCCTCGTAAATTTGCTGTCGAGTTTGGCTATTATATTGAAAATAGAGTGCAAGCAAAGTTAGTGTATCTCAATGCGAAAAAAATCGCCTACGGGGGGAAAGCCCAGCCGTCACGTCGACTGCGGTGGTGACGGGGGCAGTGTGCGAGGAGAGGGCAACCCTGAAAACGGTGGTACCGTATATGACACAAGATGGCGCACCCCCTGGAACGATGTTCAAAGCTTGATTACTCCACGACGAAGAGGATGCATATATGGACGAAAGGATACAGTTTCGGAGGGCTCTGGACCAGACGGCTTCAACGCCCCGCCGTTTTCGGCGCTGCGACTCTCTCTGCTGTTGATAAATCGAGCTTTGAAAATCGGTCAAGGGGGGTGTGTTATATTGTGTCATATACGGTACTCTCTGGTTGTCAGTAGGGCCTTGTACGTGTCGTTGCTTGCTGTGACACGCGAGGCGGTGATGAGTCTGGTCTGAAGTCTCGCCGTCAAGGACCCGCTGGTGCTTTCACATCGTGTGAACACGTCAACATACCAGCACAAGTCGTCGAACGAGCTTGTTTCGGAAGCTGCTGGCAGCCATGCTGCCCCAGCAGGAATCATCGTACCATAAGGCGCTGCGTAGGCATTCTTGTACTCGTTTTGGCGCAAGCCTGTACGTCGCGATTCGTGTGAGGTCGGAAAACGAACGTGGTATCAACCGTTTGTTGTTAACATTCCCATGCTCAAACACAATTTACAGGCCGTGGGCACCGTCGTGTGACGGCCGGTACTCGTGAGAAGCGTCCACTATGTCAGCGCTTGGTGGGCGATGCACACTGTTAGACTTC